TTACTGTGTACAATGTTCTCCAAGTTCTGCTCACTTTGCTCGGTATCAGTTCATTTAAGTCTTTCCAGATTTTTCTGAAGTCTGCCTGCTTATCATTTAAAAAATTTTTTTTTTGGTGAAGCAGTTGGGGTTAAGTAACTTGCCCAGGGTCACACAGCTAGTAAGTGTCAAGTGTCTGGTCTGAGGCTGGATGTGAACTCAGGTCCTCCTGACTCCAGGGTCAGTGCTCTATCTACTGCACCACCTAGCTGCCCCATGCTCATCATTTCTTATAGCACAATAGTATTCCATTACATTCATATACCACAGCTTGTTCAGCCATTCCCCAGCTGATGGGAATCTCCTTAATTTCCAATTCTTTGCCACCACAAAAAGAAGTGCTATAAATATTTTTGTGCATGTGGGTCCTTTTTCCCATTTGTATGATGTCTTTGGGATAGAGAACTAGAAATGGTATTGCTGGGTCAAAGGGTACACACATTTTTGCTGCCCTTTGGGCATAGTTCCAAATTGCTCTCCAGAATGGTTGGATCAGTTCACAACTCCACCAACAATGAATTAATGTTCCAATTTCCCCATATCTTCAAGGAGCTCATATTCTAATGGGAGGTGACAAAAGGCAAAAAATTGTACTTTCAAGTTATGTACAGTGTAAGTGTAAGTCTTTATATCCCCAGTGTTTGGCACATATAGTGGAATATAGTAGGTACTTAATAAATACTTGTTGATTGAACAATTGGTTATTTAACTGATTGAAGGTGAATTTTCAGGATGTTAGTAAATAATTGGAAAATGTATTTTGAGATTAAAGAAAAAATATGAGTAATTTATCAGTTACCCAGAAATTTTGTATCTGTCTGTTATGAAAACTTTCTTCAAGAAGAAGTTGTAAGACACCAAACATAGAAGCACCATACATCAAAAGAATAAAATTTACTATAGTTTAACTTCAGAAAATTACTGGTTTCCAAAGTGGGATTTTACCTTCCTACAGTCAGACTAATTAGAGCAAAGGTCAAGAGCAAAACCAAATTAGAAGAAAATATAAAGCTGAGAAGATATTGCATGAAATGGTAGCAGTTCCAACCTGACCTATTTAAACAAGCTACTGGCTCTGATAGAAGGGAAATGGATGAGGATTCTGATTATCTCCATTTCTTAGAATAGTTATCCAATATGAAGGAACTACTCCAACAAGGAGGCCAAAAGGACTCAGAGAAAACTCGGTCCCTTTGCCAAGTGAAGAGGCAAATTCTGAGACCAGTACTGGTTTAGCTAATTTGCAATGCATTATGGAGAGCAATGGAAGTTTATGAACAGTATTATAATAGTTTCACCAAACAGTCAAAAGCAGTGGTAGGGAAAATAAATCCATAGAAAGCTTAGTGTGAGATCCAAATAGGCCATATTACCCCCAAATGAAACTGAAAATAGGATAGTAAATATCCATGTAACAGCACAGATTTGCTAGTGTTTTATAAAATGACTTATTCTCATCATAGATGACAGTGGAACCACCACTTTTTGACTCAACATCTCAGTATCCCATGTGCTATACAAAGAAGTAGAAATAGTGTTAAGAAAATGAATTTCAGAGGAGTTGATGACTCTGGTGAAATATATACAGAAGAAAACCCTGTTGGAGGTGACATAATTTTAGAAGAATGCAGGAATCTATTTTAAAAATCTTATAAGTTATCCAAAAAATGAAAAAGAATCACAGATGGTATTATTACTAAGAAAATGGAAACCCAGGAGACATTGGCAACTAATAACTTTATCATCTTAATAAAATCTTTAATTGAATAGTCTATGCATGTAGTAAGAATATCTATGGTGAAAATATAAGGAAACAAAGTAGACTTTCATGGTTAGTATTCTACCATAGACCACCTCTTCTCAGTTATGTAATTTATTGAGTGTTACAGAGAATACAAGATTCTACTGTGCACATTAGGTATCGTATTGTTGTCCCTAAATAACTGACATCACCTGTACCAAAATAATGATGAGTATAGGATTGGGAAGTGTAAGAATGAGGTGTGATTTTTCCATTGTATACTGAAAGATACTTTGTACATAGTAGGTCCTTAGTATTTGTTGAATAAACAACCGAATGATTCTACCCTCCACTCCACCTATTGTGCCATTGCTCTTAAATTCCTCCCCTGAAAGCCAAAACCTTTTTTTCTAGCATCCTTTCTATCCTGAGTTCTATTTGCCCAGAAGCCTATTCTCAGCTAGGTTTAATTTGCTTGCTTTACAGGGTTGTTGTGAAGAAAACACTCTGTAAACCTTAAAGTTCTGTTATGATTAACTAATCTAATGAACTTATCTGGGCCCAAATTTTAATGAGTGCTAATCATTTCTTGTGTTCCTCCTGTAGTCCTGTAACTTATTTGCATCTTAATGGAGGACTCCTGGAGACAATTAATATAAAGCATCAGTTCTCAGATTTTGTGAACTAAGAACCCTTTCACACTCTCAAAAGTTGAAGACCCCAAAGACCTATTGTTTATTTGTGTTATTTCTATTGATATTTACTATGGTAGACATCAAAATTGATATAATTTTAAATTTTATTTTTAATTCATTTAAATATAGCAATAATAGGCTTATTACTACATGTTTACACAGATAACAATTTTTAAATGAAAATTACTTTGTTTTCCAAAACAAAAAAAATTTAGTGAGAAGAGTGAGAAGAGATTTTGCAAATCTCTTTGATGCTGATCTAATAGAAGACAGCTGGATTCTTATATCTGCTTCTATATTCAGTCTGTTGCAATGTGTTATTTTGGTTGAAGTATAAGAAGAAAATCTGGTCTCACATAGATATGTTATTGGAAAAGGAAGGATTATTTTAATAGCCTCTGTAGATAATTGTGCACATTTTTCTTTGATACTACACCAGAACTCCAGGAGTGGTAGGTAGTTCCTTTAAAATTAGATGCAATATAGTTTCTGACATTTCTTAGTATTATAATGAAACATTTTTTGATCTCATGGGCCTCCAAAAGGGTCTCCAGGACCCCTATGGGTTCTAGGGCTATACTTGGAGAACCACTGATCTAACACAATTTCCCTATTGGTATGAGTTGGACATCAAGTTGACTGATCAGTGAGGATGACATATTAAGGGTAATGGGGGTGGTGGTGGCTTTGAATTAGCTCCAGATCACATGCTTGCTCAGAGAAGGTCTTATCCTGATAATAGTATTCTCTACATACATACTTCTCAGGGAACTCCTAAAAAGTAAGCAAATTCCTTTGTTGTTGCTTGTTTTCAAATGATTAGAATTGGATAGAATGCTGTACTTGGAGTCATGAAGACCAGAGTTCAAATCTGGCCTTAGAAACTTACTAACCTTGTGGTGCCGGCAAGTCACTTTGCTTCTGCCTGCCTCAGTTTCCTCATCTGTAAAATGGTGATGATTGTAGCATCAACATCCCTGAGTTGTTTTAATGGTAAAATGAGATATTTGTAAAGTGTTTTGCAAACGTTATTGTGCTATATATTATAGCTACTTATCTAATTCAGAATTGTTTCTTTGTGTTTAAACTTTCCTTTACTAGCCTTACTAGAATAGAAATGCAATATACGAATATTAAAAAAAAAATCTAGGAAAATAAAACTAAGCTGTTTATTTACATTATCACTGCTGAAAGAAATGTGAAACATACTTAAACTTTGAATTTCAGAAAAGGACTGAGTCTTAAAATATGTTTTAAAAGGTTGAAGTACTCATGTCTATTAAGCCTACAAGCATTTTGTGTCATACACCTGATGCTTGTCTAATACAAGAATACACAAAACAGTAAATACTATAAAAATTACATATGAACTTCTCTCATTGATTCTTCAGTTATTCAGATGTTTCTTTTGGCTATACATACACCACACTTGTTAATGTTAAATGGCAAGCTATTACACATATTGATTCTGTATCAGTAACATTGAGCAAACACAAATTTAAAAAGTGGGAGTTTCCCAAAGAAAGACAAATGGAGGACATTTGCTATAGAGAGGAGTTAGAGGAAAACAAGAAAGAGATTATTGGCTAAGGTAACTTTTGTGTTTTCTATATTTATAATAACTGAGACTTTAACAAATTGAATCATATGTATGTGTATAACATAATTAGATCTCAGATAAATTTGAAGTGCAATAAACCTTGTCCATTTTCATAGAGTATATATGTATACATACAATACTTGAAATAATATAATAAGATAGAAGTAGACTGTGACTTTATCCTTTGTAGAATATATTTACAATAGTCAGTCTCATATAAGAAGAATGTAAAAGGAAATGGTTTCAATTATAACAGGAGAGATTAACTTTAAATATAAAGAAGACTTTCTGGATAGGAAAGTAGGATAAACACAGATGTGTTACCAAGGAAGACTGGAATTTCCCTTTTTGGAAGTTATTTACCTGATGTGATTTTATTGTAACCCTGTAAGATGTGGTTTCAGTGACAATCCTATAATTTCATAACCTGTCTTGTTACCTTTTAAATGTTTATTTAAATTACAATCAACACTTAGAAACTTTAAGTAGTGAGAAGGGTTAAAGTATAAGACTTTTCATTTTCCCAACTCAGGAGAAAATGAAGTATTTATTATTCTAATATATATCCGTTTGCATATTTTCCTTTAAGGAACAGTATTACTCTCTTGACTCAAAAGTACTAGTGAGAATACTGCTTGTGGGTGGAAACAGGAAACACTAGTGATAAAAACAATGTAGCTTTTTTTTTTCCACGTTCAGCTCTATGTACCTCAATTCTAATCAGCCCATTTTCTGCTTCAGCTAGTTTTCAGCTTCTTTTATCTCCAAGTGAAGTGTTGTTATTGTATCTTGTTTTTATTTTGTTGTTTTTGAAGATTCTATCCTGCACGTGAACACCACCACCTCCTCCCTCCTTCTCTCCTTTACAAATGTTACAACACAATCAGAAATTTCCTCTTTTCTTTCCTTCCTGCACTTCCTGCAGGTTCCCTTGCGTCAGAAGCCGAGGAAGAAAACTCAAGGTATTGTAATAAGAGCTCTCATTTGTTCCTTTATTATTTATCGTTATTATTATTTTGGATGTCTTCTTTGGGATCCCTTTTTTTTTTTTTTTTTTTTTTTGCGTGTCTGAGTATCGTGAGCCTGGGCTAGTTGGCAGGCAGCTTGACTCGTGGTTATTTTTCTATTGCTTCTGAGAAATGACGACATGCTGCTCATTTGGATTAATCCCTTGTGGTATGTCAGTAGGGCTTGGATATAGTGGAATTGAGAGCCTGAGAAGTAGCTTTCGCTTAAATGGGCATTAGCCGCACACTTCTATTGCATAACTACAGCCCTTGTGGCTGGCTGCATGCGGCTATGCTGTGCAGTCATATGCCGGGTGGTCTAATACACTTTATTTTCCAATTTACACTGTTCAGTGGCATTTTAAAAAATGCTATTCATACGCTGAACATTATTCCTTCCTTCTTGTTTCATTTGTTATACCTTTTATATACAAGCGATACATTTTGAAAGCTAAGGCACCCGAGGAGGTGGCAATTTGTATTGCTCAGATTTGTTCTCCAGGGAGCTCTGGGGTGCGTGATATAGCAACTTGGAGCCATTGGCTTTAAGTAATTGATTATTTTACCAGGATCTTTCTCGGGCTTCCCTGAGCACAGAATAATCATTTCATTCTTGGTGTGAATGCTGTGCAGGTTTCTTCACAATGAGCCGGAGGAGGATATCCTGCAAAGATCTGGGACACGCTGACTTCCAGGGGTGGTTATACAAGAAAAAGGAAAAAGGCACCTTCCTCAGCAACAAATGGAGAAAGTTCTGGGTTGTGCTCAAGGGAGCATCACTGTACTGGTACGGCAATCAGATGGTGAGTGCGCTTTCCCCCTAAGCCCCTGAGTTTTGCTACCTGAGAGCTGCTGCTGGGGCAGGGCATGGCTCCAGGGGGTCCAAGGGCAGGTTCCACTCTAAGCAGAGGAAGTGATTCCTCAGTGTATTGACTGACACCTTGTAAAGTCCCTTCTGCATCAGTAATATCGTGAGGAAGGCGATCTCGTTTTATCCAGACAAAACCTCTCCACCTTGCTTTTTAAGCCTTAAAACTCTAAACCATTTGTGGAGGGGGCTTTCAGATTTCATCAGTTAATTCTGGAAAAAATTTCCCTCATTTCAGATGAAAGATACTGAAGAATTATAAATGAAAAAAAGAAAAATATTGAAGAGCAAAGCTCCCCAGGGGTCTCTGCCTAATGGGCGCATGTCATGTATGCTGCAGATTGTTGATTTAATTAGAGAAACTACTACAGTTTATACATTGCTTTTACTTTCCTCTTCCTCCTCTTCCGTATTGTGAAACTTGCTATCAGGATTGTTAACAGCTATTTCAGCTTTGTGTTTTGCACTGATGTTTGGGGTTTTGCCATGGATGGAGGTCATTAAACCACACTGTCCCCTTCTTCTAACATACTGCTTTGCCTTCTCTTGATGAGGTGCTTGGGAATTAAGTCAGCCTTTAACAACTTAATTAAAATATTATGGCCTGCTTCACGTATCAGATTTCAGTAGTATAGGGCCAGAAATAAGTAAATTTTAGAAGGAGTCAATGATATTTAGAGTTTACATTTATGTAGTGTTCTGTTTTTCTCACTTCTGTCTTGCTAGGTTGTTACTCTATTATTATTTCTATTTTATGGATGAGAAAATTCAGGCTCAGAGATTAGCTAGCATATCTATAGTTACACGTGTAATGTTAGAATTTAGAGTTTAAACTAGGTCTCTTGACTTCAAGTGGTACGGTGAAAAGATCACTGGCTTTGACTTCAGAAGACCTGAATTCGAATTCTACCTCTGACAATTACTACATTTGTGACTTTCCGCAAGTCACTTAACTTCCCTGGGCTTCACTTTCCTCTTTTGTGAAGTGGAGGGAGATTAGATTACATGGATTCTGAGGTCTCTTTTAGATCTATGATCTTATAATTCTAGGTGTAAAGTTCTTTTCATTACATCATGCTGCCTTAGAGGTAAGGCATCTCTCTCTCTCTGTGAAATTCTGAGCACCTTACTTAAATGCTATTAAATGCGTATATTAGCAACAAATCCTGGTGCTTTGGAAGATAGCACCCATTATTAAAAAAAGCCCCCTTCTGTACCAAATGTTAGGAGTTTAAAAAAAAATACTCTCTAGGGATTATGTCTACATTCATATGCATCTATTAAGTTTCACAGTTTTAGAGCATGAAACTTTGTGCCTGAGTTGATTGGATTTCCAACAAAATGCTATTGTTTGATTGTGGGCAAAATCTTGAGGTGACAAATTTAACTCACCAGGCACCTATAAAGAATGTAACTTTAGGATGTTATATTTAACTGGGTTAGTAAGACACAGATAATAATAACAGCTTAAATTTGTAGATAATTTAAGGCTTACAGAGTGATTTCCTTAGCACAGTCCTGTAAAATAAATATTTTACAGATGGGGAAACTGAGGCCAATGGAAGAGAAGTAATTTACTTACATTCACACAGCTAGTAAGTAATCCAAGACTTGAATCTGGATCTAATCCCAAAGCTAATGGTTTTTCTGTTATACTGTCTCAGTCATTCATCTAGATTTTCCACATTTGCAATAAATATATTTTTTCAGGAGAGACTAGGAGGTTAGTGGGAAACTTTGCATTCTAACAAATATATTACCAAAAAGATAGAGTGGCTTAGTGGGTAGGGTACTAGACTTGGACACAGGGAGATCTATTTTCAAATCCCACCTCAGACACTTACTAGAAGTGTGACTTTGGGAAAATCAGTGCCTCAGTTTCCTTATATGTAAAATGAAAGAGTTAAATTTGATAGCCTCTAAGATTTTTTCTGGTTCTAAATCAATGATACTATGAAAAACCTTTTGCCTATTGCTGTAAATGTGTTTTGAGCCACAGGGATTAGAGATATGCCCTGACTGGTCCACTATTGACTCATTTTGCTTTGATTTTTCCCTGTGCAAAGTGCTGTATAATTAGGTAGCCGTTGACTGTTTTGTGTGTGTAGCTTCTCTTACAGAGTTGGTTACTTGGGCCATGGCTTTGAAAGAGTTCCTAATTTAGGAAGAAAGTAAACTCACAGTTGTCCATATACCTCTTTCCTGTCCCTGATGTTACCCGAACTTTTTTCCACCTGGATGAACAACCCTCAAGTTGCAGAGCATTAGCTTGAATAGTTATGAAGACCAGTTTCAAAGAGAGAGAGATACTGCTAGTACTTGTGTGGAGTTTATTACATTAAATTGGTCATATATAGAAAAGATACCTCCTCCTCTGACCCTATGCTAATTACTTTTTTCTTATGGAACAAAAGAGTCACCAGTGAATCATTAGTTGACATTTATAATCTGTCCATCAAATGTCAGTGTAAAATACGAAATGAGAAACACATGCTTAGTCTAAGATTACATTTATTTTCGGCCCCCAACAGAATTCAGTTTTAGTAATGCTGTTGGTAGCTCGCTGTTCCTCTGGTATCTCTGATCAAGTATCAGACAAGGTTCTGAGCCACCGTCTTTACTGTTTCCTTTGAAATTCATTATTTTTTGCCTAGTGACAAGTCCTGTCACACACTGGTTCATTTCTGGTTTGATTGGGAGGAATGAATCCTCCTTTCAGTTCAAGTTTAAGTAAAAGGATTAAGGTCACCATGATTTTTCTCAGAAGTTTTATGTTTAAAAGCCAGAGCAGTGGAACTGAGGTCTTTCTCAAAAGCCCCAATTTTCCCAATAATAAGCTGTGACAGAAAGTGGTACATGTAGCTTCTCTCGGGAGGTCTCTTAAAAATATTCTGTGCTTCATTCTCTCAAAATCTCAAACTTAGACAGGTTCATAAAGATATGGCTTAAATTGGGGCAGTGTTTCTCGGTATTCCAGATCCAAGATCTTTTTTTTTTCTTTTCTTTTCTGCTTGCATAGTATGATTGCTTGGGGAAGTTCAAACATATCTGGCATGGAAAACAGTCTCTTTAAAAAGGTTATGTTCATGGAATAATGGAAAGAGAGCAAGATTTGAAGTCAGAGGAGCTGAGTTTAAATATTGCCTCTAATACTTACTATCTGTGTGAACTTGGGTAATTGATTTTATATGTCTTGACTTTCATTCCCATATCTATAGAATGAAGGGGATTGAGGTGGGGGGGTAGTTAGATTAAATGACTTACAAAATTATAATTTTTTAACATAAAAGAGAAAAACTAAACCAAACCAGCTTTGCTAGGGTACCCCCCTCCCCTTTTTTTTAAAAAAAAATAATATCCCATGAAAGTCCCAGATACAGAAATTGACATGGGTTGGGTAAGAATGTTGCTTTTATAAAACTCTTCCTGATGCTTAGTACGTGGGAATTTAAATTGGTTTTATAATATAATGTAAACCAGTGATTCTCAAACTTTATGGTCTCAGGACTCATTTAAAACCCCCTCTCCCCCGCCCCAGACAATGGGATTAAGTGACTTGCCCAGGGTCACACAGTTAGTGAGTGTTAGGTGTCTGAGGTCACATTTGAACTCAGGTCCTCCTGACTCCAGAGCTGGTGCTCTATCTACTGTGCTACCTAGCTGCCCTTAAAATCTTTAAAATTATTGAGGATCCACCAAAAGCTTTTATGTGGGTCATAATTGTTGATATTTACTGTGTCATAAATTAAAACATCTTGGTTATTATTGTGAAAATAATTTTGACCTTGTTGACCCCCTGAAAAGCATCTCAGGGACCTCGAGGCATTGCATGTTGAGAACTGCTGTACTTTCCAAAGTTTGAAAATAGCAGTTGCAACAGGGCCTACTCTACTACCTTGTAGAACTAGGCAATGGCAATGAATTTGAGACCATGAGAACAAGGATTTGGAGAGAAGGAAAAAATGAAAAAGTCTAAATAAACATATGTCATTCCCTTTCTCAAAAATTTTCGGTGTATATAATAGAAAACTCCTTAATTTGTATTTTAAGGACTTTTACAATCTGACTTTTATATATAATATAATAGATATGATATATCTATACTATATATATACATATATACATGTGTATATATATATATATATAAAAAATAGAAGCTCGTTAATTTGTATTTAAGGACTTTTACAATCAGACTTTTATATATAATATGATAGACTTATTTATAATATATCTACTTATATGTAATAGAAACTCCTTAATCTGTGCTTTAAGGACTTTTACAATCTGACTCCCACTTATCTTTCTTCTAGTAATTCATACTAGTACTCTTCACAAATTCTAAATTCTAGCCAAACTAAATTATCTTTTCCACACTATTCTCTAGGTCTGGACTACATTCCCTACTCATAGCCAACTTTCAGAATCCTTATCTATTCTCAAGGCCTAGCTAGGGTGCTGCTTCCTATAAGGAGCCTTCCCTGATTCTCCCAATTCTTGGTGCTTCTTCCTTACTTGATTTTTAGCATCTTATATTTATTTGTGTGTATTTTGTTCCCCTTACATCTCCAGGAGAACATCCCTGAGGGCAGAGACTGATTTTTTTTTTTAATACTTTGCATCTAACTCAGTCCCTGGCACATGGTATGTACTTAATAAATTTTAATTGAATTGAGTTGTTGAATTGTGAAAATAATTAGTCATTCAGCCCTCACTTAGTGATCACCTGCTAAAGGCCGGATTTGGTACTAGGTGCTAGGGATAGAAGGTACAATTCAAGGAAGCCCTTGCTCTCAAGTAGTTTCTATTTTGCTGTGGGAAACAATATATTCATTCACAGATAAGTAAATGCAGTTATGTACAGAATAAATTGAATGTAATTTGGAAAAGGAGGAAGGATTTTTTTTTTAACCAATGGTGAGAGTCAGAAGGAGCCTC